GTGTTGCTCTGTCTTTGGTTTTCTATGTAGTGTTTTTTGTAGACCTTCAGTTGTCTTTTTGACCATGTGGTTGTCTGTTAGTGTTCGACTTATGGTTTTTGATAGGAATCTTCTTCCTCGTTTTGTTTTTGGTCTACTTCATCTCTGGGCTTGCGCCTAGAAGTTAGCTGGGGAAGAATTATAACACGACAAAAAAGATGGTTTCAATTTTCAAATTGTGAACTTTCCATTGTATGTATAGCATTATTTCAACAGCACTAGTATTTAGGACCAAATCTTTCCCACTTGATACAATATTCCATAGATTTTGTTACCTATTATTATAGTTGGTGCTTAAAAAACTATTGATCCAAGGGTTCTTAGTTTTTGTATACTAGCCGAAAGTTTTACGGACACCATCATGATTTGTTTTAAATCATTGAATATTTGAGTCATAAATGAACACGCCATAACCACAATTCCTCGTAATGAAAACATCCAATTATACGTCTCGTTGGGTTTTTCCTTCCATGATTGGTGCTACTTTGGATCAGAAGTGGACCAGACACTGCTTTCTATCTAGAGCACTTTAGGTCATGTTTAGTTGGGTTTGTGTTGCTCAATCTTCAGTTATCTGTGTAATGTCTTGTGGACTGTTATTTGTATGTTTATAAAAATAAGAAGATGTGATATGATTGCCAATGAGACAACTCTCCAACAGGGACCAAATGACGTAGAAGCTAGCAACTGTAGGTCACCGTAAGGCCTTGTCCAACAATGAGCAAACCCCATACAGTTTTTCGTGTTTGCCATAGTATTATTTGTCCAATGACTATTCATTGTTTGTAGCCGTCTTGGCATTTGTTGGCAATGCTTGCACGTGCCTTATTATCGACTGACAATAAAACTCTTACGTGGCTCTCTATCGTTGTTTCTTGTTGTTATTATCTCTTGTTTCCACCATGTGCACTTAATGCTTATCTGGTTGTATCTGATTGAACAAGCATCGACTTCCTCTGATTTTAATCCCCCTTTTCCAACTTTACCTTGAAGCTAAAACTAAGACTTAAGTTTATTTTTCAGACACCCTCTCAAAATCTAAAACAATTAGAAATCTATTTACCAATTTTTTTTATTGGAATACATTCCTCGAATTGTCGGACAAATAAGCACTACCTCGCTTAAGTAAATATTGCTGTATTTGATTTCAAAATGACCAATATTTCACTACCATAAAGTAAAATAGGTTGGATTGGGCGATTAAATACATGTATGCTAGTTGGTTGTTTTTTTAAATTTTTCTGATGTTTATAATTTGCTTTTAAGCTTTACTTTTAAAGTTCATTCTGAGATAAGGAATTGGAGTCTAGTCAGTTACTAAGGTATACACCTAAGTATTTGCACTACTGTACACATTCAAGTTCCCATACTCCCATAATTTAATTTATGACGTATGTGTGTCTGACCGTCTTATTGAAGTCATTACAATATCTGTAAAGGATATCAAGTTTGTTTTGGAGGCCTTTTGAGGTAGAGAGGATAATAGAATAATATCATTGGCATACAACTATATTAAGCAATTGAGAGGTTTGCCATTTAATATCACTGGATCGGGAGAATTCTCCAGATGTTTTTGATAAGAATCTTAAATAAATTAGGGCTAAGGTTGTCTCCTTGTTTTACTCCGGCTTAGCTTAATAAGGAAGTAATCTCCAATGCCATTTTAAAACTTTTATCCAAAACTTGCTGACATCATACCTTCTGCGTATTATATCATAAAATAAAGAACTTACTCCAGTTTATATTAATTTTATCTTTATAACTATATGAATGGCTGCAAAATGCTTTTGGGAAATCGAAAAGACAAGCCAACACTCTGTAGAGTTTCAATATGTAGCAATAACACATTTCAATATAAACGATTCCTAAAAGATTGCCGAGGAATACCGAAGTCGTAACACAAAGTATGTACTTGCATCCCGGGCTTTTTAGTGATCACGTGGTCAATTAAAGTGCATATTTCTTGAAAATTTGAGACATACAGTGACATGCTCTTTTATGTGTAAAGCAAAAGTCAGACAAATCGAATGTAATTGGAGTTGAAGCACGATTTGGATTAAAGTTATAAGGGTTGCTTGGTAACAAGAGTATCTAATGCAAAAAAATGCAAAAGTCGAATAGAAACTTGAACTGTATCGGGCCCAATAGATATCAAAATTGTCCTAGGCCGAATTTGAGCTTACATTTGTCTGAACTAGCTGTTTATGGTCAATGCTTTTTGATTTTTAAAAGGATCTCCTTGATTACTTTTTCATACAAATGTTGTTTGTGTGGTAAGCCGATCTTCCTTTATTCATAATGAATACTGAGCTTGTTTTTTGTGTGTTGCTGAGTCAAAAGTAAAACAACAAAAATATCGAACTCCTAGGAAAATTCAGAAAGGAAATTCCCTTATCAAAAGGCAAAATCAAAAGCTCAAGCGAATGGAAAACAACTGTCATATTCCTGACTTTGTACAGACATTTCCTTATGTAGAAAATGGTGGATAAACCTGGTTTTATAGCTAGCTAAACGTCTCACTTTTATGACAGTTGCATAAAATTCCATAATATTGACAACAATGTGTGAACAAATGCATCCTCGTCTTAAAGTTCCCTTATTCTCCTATATTTTCGGATATAATGTCTAACGTTATGTCGTTGTATTGCTGTCTCATTTACGTTTACCCCACACTTATTTTTATTCAGTTTTAGATTGTCTCCAAAACAGTTAAATTTGTCACTATGCTTGAGGTTTATATGCTCATTCATTGTAACAGTTTTGGAGTTTTTACTTCGCTGTGAAATAACCTGAAACATTCTGTCCCTGGTTTACTGTCTCGTCGATATATATTCCATGTCTACCTTTAATTATATATTTTATAGAGTTTTCTCTAGTGTCGTGTGAAAATACACTAAAATGTAAGAGAATCTAGATGGCCGAGGTACATAATAATCGTATTTTTTCTAATTTTCAAAACGAATGTTCTCTATTCTTTATTTATTTTGCCCATTGTTTACTCCAATATCCTCCATTTTTTATTATATTTTTTTGCCCATTTTTCTCTATATTTTCCCCACTTTTTCTGTTCTCTTGGTCCATTGTTCTCCATTCTGTAAACCCCGCCAAGACCCTCATGTATCCGGAAGCTTGAACTATATGCAAATTATAAGAAAATATTTTCAATGAGACAACTATCCACCAGAGACCAAATGACGTAGATGTATATAAGCAACTTTATCATACATTTTTCCGTTTTTGAGTTTATCCTACCACATTGTGTTGTTGGTTTGCTGTCTCATTGACCAACATGCACGTTTCCTTTTATTGATAGTTAATAAAACTAGTTCTTACTATGCAGTATAGCAGTAAAGTTATCGATTTATTTGTCTTGTACAACTCAACGTATAGACTCTTCCAAAGTATACAAGAAGGAAAAACATTTTGTTTATTTCTCTCTCAATTCAATTTCAATTTTTTAAATCAACTCTGTATAATTTTACACTCTGTAGTTATCGTTGTAACTTTTGAAACTATTACCTGTGCATCGAAAGAGTGTGACGAATTTCTCCGTGGTTGTTTCGGTCACATGTTTATAATCAGAAAGTTGTTGAGAATTTTTTTGGATTTTGAATATTAAAGAGTATAAAGAGGGGGACTGGGGAACAAGAGGACGAGGGTCTTTATTTCGGTATTTGATATTTTCTTGGCTATTTTTCTCTATTCTTTATTTTGTTTGACCATTATTCTTTATTCTGTATATTTAAGAACCCCATATTTCTCTATTCTTTAATTTTTTGGTCCATTTTTTGCTATTTTTCTCTATTCTTTATTTTGTTTGATGTTTGACATTATTCTCTATTCTGTATATTTCCAAACCCCATATTTCTCTATTCTTTAATTTTTGTGTCCATTTTTCTCTATTTTCCCCCTCATAAATAATACACTTAGATTTTTCAAACAATTTAAAACATATGCTAAAATAAAATATTGCGTTATTAAGCGATGACTTTACATAGCTATTTTAAAGGTCTATTTTGATGTCCTTGATCCTAGCTACTTCAGATGATTTCCTGTAGTAGCTTGCACATTTTGATCCTTATTTCCAATTTGTTTTCCTTGTTAGAGTTAGTGGTCATCTGTTGGTAGCTGTATTGTGCAAGTTTTTATTATGTTTTACTTTTATGGTATAGGGTAGATATAAAGGCAATGTGGAGAGGTGGTTGTTTGCATTTAAAACCCCACCAAATTTTGTGCGTATACCAAGTCGGGCTATCTGGACTATCCCGGTTTTTTCGTTGCTGTTTTCCGTTTGTTTGTAAGTCTACTTTTTTCAAAGGTTAGGTCCGTCGTACTTTCCAATATTTTTGGTGATTCCTTTTTTATTTGTATGTATTATTTTATATGATGTTACAAGTACGTATTTTGGAAAATATTGCCAAAATGGAAATTATTTAAGTTGTCTCTGAAAAAATAAATATCTTTTGATAGAATTTTGTTTTGGTAAATAGTATCCATTTTAGTCACTTTAGGGATAAATATACTAAATAATTGTCACAATCAATAATATTCCTTTTTTTCATCTGGATCAATGGAGTAGTAAAATGTAGAGAAAACATTTCAGAATAAGCAATCAATCATTGCCCATATGTGTTTGGTTTTTTTTCTGGGGTTGATTTCGGCTATAATTCTGTGTAGTAGAATGATAGATTGATTTTAGTTAGCTTTACCTTCAGTGGCAATTATTCTATGAATATTCGGGACGAGAACAAACTAATAATATTATAAATCCAATGGGTGTTTTCTGCAAAGTAGGTCGACCGGGGTGAAGGGCGGGAATTTCGACTGCAGCGGGAACATTTTTCTGTGGTAAATAATGATACATTAGGTGACAATTATCATGGTGTCTTTGATGAGCTTTAGCAGCAATATGAAAATCATTAAGAAAAATGGGAGAGATTTTTCTAATAAACACAACACAATTTTTGTTTTCAAACAACAATTTATTAGAACAGACTGTTCCAATTTGTAAAATATATCTCATCAAAACATAGTTTGTGGCGGATGAGTATGAGCATGCACAATACATTTACACAATTCACGCAAAATATCTCAAATAAAATATATATAATTTATTACATCACCCATTGTATACAAAACAATCAATTAACAATCGCTCATCTCTCATTCGGGAATAAAAAAAAATATTACGAATCAAATAAAAAAAGATGATCGAGAAATTTCGTTCTGGTAAATCGTTGTCAATGGTGTCAGAAATATAAGAACAATTTGAGTATTTGGTAATATTTCAATAAAATTAAATATGAAAACAAAAGCGTCATGGATATAAATTAAAATGCTTTAAAATGGCTGCCCCATGAAATGACAACCAAATATTATGCACGTTGTTGAGATTGTCATGAGGTGAATATTTTTTGTATTTAACAACACGTTTTTTGCACCACAATCACTATACAATACAGCACTGAAAAAATCCACTCGGTGGACGCGGCCCCACTCCGTGGATGTGGCAAGTTTTCATCATTATCTGTCCACTAATGAGATCGTTTGAAGTGGAATGTACACGAATCCGTGCGCTGCAGACGAGGTAACACATCTCCCTGACGATAAACGTCTGCTCGAGTAGATAATTTTTGTTCGTTTCAATATATCATTTGAATAATATCTGTCTGTTTAGTAATTGACTCTCATAAGACTTGGAACTTCGGCCATGATGATGTGTCTTTGTAGTCGCATTCGACTGGTCGTGAATAACCTTGCGCGGCCAAGGAGCCGTATGATCCAACCTGGTTACCATTTGTAAGACCCGCGTTATTCATTTGATTTGTCATCACTGGAAGTTGCATATGATTCAAGTAGTCCATGCTTCCATAATAGGATGAATGTCCATAATTTTGATGAGGATATGATGTTGGTTGTGAATTTGACATAGGATAGCCTCCTCGCTGCATACAGCTATTAGAATTCATGATATCATTTACTTGTGGGATAGCTGCCGGGCTCCATATAGATGATCCAGTATTCATACCACCGTTGGTAACGGGACTAGAGACTATTGGTGGTTTACAGTATACCGGAGAGGTTGATGGAGGTGGTGGGGATTTAGACTTCTTTGGTGTTGGGGGTTTTGGTTTTCCTTCTTGTGCCTTTTGTTGCTGACGACACTTAGCTCTTCTATTTTTGAACCAAACCTGAAATTACAAACGAAATGCATGTTATACTACTTAGGTTATTATTTTAATTTAGTTGACTACCAATAAATTTACTTAAAAGTAAACACGTTGCTTGGTTTTAATTATTCCATGACAAAAACAACAGAAAAATATAACCGAGTTCAATCTAAAAAAAGATTATTATCGAGATGTGTTTGTTTTACAATGATTTCTCCCTAATTTCTTTTACTTTTTGTTATATAATCTTTTAAACATGGAATATTGGTAGAGATTGTTCTTATTGAACGTATTATCATATTGCTTGTATTGACGCCGAGATCAAAGAAATCTGAACGAAAAATGTGTTGATATCAAATATTCGGCGTAGAGATTAATTAATTTCATGACAACTTTTTCAGGTGTTTATATAAAACTTAACACCTTTTTTAACACATGTGTCCTCTGCAATTATGCGACGATTAGAATAAAAAGGATTCTGTTTTGAAAAAAAAATTATAATGATAAAAAACATCAAATACACGCAAAACCGAACTACTATTACATCCTAATCGATATAAAGATTTCAAATATCTGTTGTAATTTTACACATGAAAAGGAGAATTGAAAATGAAAATTTAAGTGAAATCTTGAAAATTGAAATAAAATTAGGTTTAATTCAAATGGACAATACACATGAATGTAACAGGTAATCCCCCAGGGCGAGAAATTGACAAGGGAAACTACTTGGTAATGATTATCTCTAATTTGTATGTTTATGTAAGAAATTATCCATTAAAGTAGATAAATACAAGACCGTGTGAAAAATTCTGGACAGATCAGTTTCAAATACACATTTTTTTTTTAAATCGAAATAACTATATTTCTTTCTTTTTTATGGAATAAAACATCTGGAGTCGGATTTAAAAAAAAAAACTCCAATGATGATTATTACTTTATTGGTGTAATCCCAAGGGCCTGTTCGACTGGATTGTTCCGGGATTAGATTTTTTTAACATAAATTTTGAAAATTGATGCATACCTGCACTCGTGATTCTGGTAGATTTATTTTTAAGGCTACTTCTTCCCTCATAAAAATGTCTGGATATCTTGTCTTTTGGAACAAAGCCTCGAGGACATCAAGCTGTGCTCTAGTAAAAGTTGTTCTTTCACGTCTCTGTTTGCGGGGATTTCCAACTGAAACATAAAAATCTAATCACTATATAAAAGATGATTTTAACTATTTTGACAACTTATAAATGTATACAACACGAAAAACTAGTCACTTAATACAACATGAACATCAAGTCACAACATACAACATGACTGAAATCTAGTCACTTTCCAAACAACATGAAAATCTAGTCATCACGGGATATATAACATAACTATATATGCTATCATGGAGCTGGTTATTGTATGCTAATTCATAATAATCCTCATTTGCGCGGAAAATTTGTCCACACCTCTCCCGTTTAAAACACATCTTATTGCTCATAAAAATACAAAAATCGAAAGTTTACTCTCTCGAATCAAAATAAATTTTCCTGTCCATTTGGTTATAACTTCCTTTGCAGTCAACAGATGTTTTAGAATTCATACAAGTAGAGTTTATTTGGTTCAGTATCATCGATTTACATACAATGCGAGAAAATGAATATATTAATATTTTAATGAAAATGGGGCAAAATATTGATGTTTTCCTGTAATTGCTATCAATGTCCTCCAATAAAAGCACACTCTATGTTTTAAAAAAGGGAATGGCCATTCGGAAGGCATTGCGCAATTGAGTAAACTTTAAGGTAAAATATATACATATTTGATGTAATTTTAATAGTCGATCACGTTTAACAATTTGAAGATCTATTGCCTATTTGAAGAGCGGACTGACGCCACCAATACATAAATTTTGACAACAACTTCATTCATAAGACTTGGACGGATGTGTTTCCCTTCGCGAATGCGACAATAATTTGACAATCTATTACACCTTTCGGGTTGAAGAAAAATGCGAAGCCTACAATAAAATTTGCAGGAGACCACACAAACATTGTTCACCCTATGTTAAGAAAACACAAGAACACATACTTGTTATCTAACACACATAAAGCCTGACGTTGTATTATTTTTAAACCTATAGAAACTGTTGCCCCGTCGAAACAGTATTGCTTGTAAAAGTATGTGACTTCGCGTATAGTTTCTTCTTCGTCTCGTCAAAATTTACAAACTAAATTGCTTTATTTTCTTTTCAATTATAGGAGCATCGCCTTCATAAAAATGCAATGTACCGTTGATTTGAAAGAGAACATGTGAATAGAAATCGTGACTGTCAGAATACAAAACGTTGGATTTCATGTGAAAATTTTTCACTTTCGGAATTTCTTTTGAAATCACTTTATTTTCAAATTAAACGTTAAATTTTAGTTCGTGTTAAAATCAATGTTGCAAATGACAAACAACTTGTACACCAGTGACAAATATTTCCTTTATCTGTATAGAACGTCCCAAAAAATGAAAAGATCTTTGATGCATATGCTAAATAGTGTTTATCAATATACACATATTTTCAATTTATTTCAAAATAAAGATCTCCGATTCTAAATGATATATATAAAGATCCAGTCAAATTCAATTCATGATCTATGTATGCAAATTTCAAATTAAATAAAAAGAAAACTTCGATGCTTTCAAATGAAACGATTCTGTACCCACAAAAATAAGAAATATATATTTGAATTTTTAACCATCAAATTTAATATTAAATTAGAAGTTTGGTTATAATATGCAGGTGTGCGTTTATAACCGAAGAAATGTATCAGTACCAGCTCATGTTTACAACCTCGTAGTATTAATATTAAACTAGAATAAGACCGCAGTAGGATACTGAATACTGACAAAGGACGATCTGGATACACACTGATCAAAAGACATTTATACCCCATTCACATCCAACAAACTATTATTGAAAATTTCCGGAGAAAATAAAGGCCACTCGCGGAGAAAAACTCGCATAATTAAGAGCACAAAACAGAGGAATTTTAGTGTGGAAGTTCGTTCTAATTTTAATCAAATCATTTCACCATCCCTTACCACTTTATTTTTCTGAATAAACCAACACGCGGTTAACCTTTGTATTTATTTTTCAAATTTGTGTCTCAATTTTGAAGTATCATTTGTAAATACTTTTTGAAAAATCATAGCAATAGTCCAGTTAAATATATAACAGTATATTTATATCAATTCAATAATCACAGAAAAGCAACTGAAAATCGTAAAAACTAATAAAAAAAGCTTGATACTGTCACTAACAATTAGAACAAGACGTAAAATACACTTGCACCGATGTGCAAGTCATGTTACAGAAATATTACGGACAATTAATTCTATTAAATGATTAAAAAATATAACAAGTTCGGACTAAACACAAAATTACGGACAATCAGCTTACCTGATGGGTATCCCATAGCTGGGTGCATCAAATCCATGTTTGACTGTGCCAGACTAAGACCATTGACGGAGTATGGTGGTGCCTTGGCGGACATTGATGATGGAGGTAGAACAGATGGCTGACTGTAGGCTACACTTGTCATTCCTGTTGGATGATGAAGATGATGGTCAGGTGAAGATGAATCAAGGTAGTTGTCCGTGTTTTGTGATTCCTGGTCCGAAAGCCCACTATTTTGAACTGTAAACAGATGCATTTATCAAATTAGAAATGAAATCGGTTGATAGTTTATGTCTTATTTCCTTAAATGTTTATTTGTCGACGGGACAGTTATAATGAAGCTGTCAACACAGGTGTGCCAATTCTTCAGATGTTCACTACAAATGGACAACCATTAAATGATCCATGAATATGTTCAACTTTCAAATGATACAATTATTTGACCTGTCTATTGTTGTACGATACGTATGATGGGTAATTATCTTTCATTTTGTCTTTTCGTCTTAACACCCACTTTTTAAATCCCACCTTGCTAAATGACTGTCAACACATTTCCTCGAATTTGATTGGACAACAGGATGGACTTGACCAATCATATCCGTGACGTGTTGGTGACAGTAAAAATGCGATCACCCGCGAGTTTTGTCTCCTAACAATCAATTATTCTTTTTTTTGTTAATTAAATGAGCACAGGTCACTAATTAATCGATATCACTTGAAAAATGTTTTTATAGAAGCCTTTGGTCATGGTGGCTTTGAATTGATTTTAAAAGTTTGTTTTGGTGTGTGTTTTTTTTTTTGCATTTAGAACATTTTGGAAAGTTCAGAAATAAGAGGAACATGGGTTCTTGTTTTTCTTGCAGATCTGAAATCTTAAAATGGCTTATGTGATCCTACTTTTATTGAAATGTGTAATGCATCTTTATGACCAACATTATTATTCGTTTTCAAGCTAATTTCTGAACTAGTGGTCCCTTATAAAATTTTCAACGGGGTTTAAAGGTATCTGAGATTTCTGGTTTTGGTTGACCCCCCCAGTGGTCTGATGTTTTCGGGGGTTTTGTTTTATCATTTGTGGTCAGTTTTTATCAATCAAGTCCATTTATTTCTGCTTATAAAATGGGGTTACCAGGCATAGACTCCCTTGTAAACTTATTATGTTGAAGTCCTATGGCTATACAGATAAATGTCATACATACAAGCATACTTGCATACATAGAAGTTTCTTCATTTGAAAGTCTCGACTGACTAAGTCCCTCAAACATAAACACATAACAACATGCAATTTAATATGTGTACTTTTTATGTTTTACTGACTTTAAATGGCGGCAACCTGGGTTAAGTATTTCGTCTTTCGGATACAGCGGAAGTCAAAAGTAGTTTATAATTTGAACAATATTTACCGGAACAAGGCTTAGCATTGCTTTTTTTGGAGGAAGAAAATTCAGAAATTAAAACTTAATATTGCTGTTAAATTCATAAAAGGGGAAAATCGAGAACTTATGTAGGACAATTCCATGATAAATGGTAAGTCAACAAAATTTGTGGCATTTAAAAAAGAGTAACTTACAATGTAAATATTACCTTTTCCTGTGATTTAGTTTCACAACACGAACAACATAAGTTTACAGGAACTATTTGTCAAAAGTAAATTTGTACAGAAAGAACAAATTCATTAGAGCGACCATTGGGCATTTGAAAATGTTTGCTTTCGGTCAGTATGTTTGGCTGAACAGACTCGCTCAGTAACGTCAACAAAACATTTATTTGTTTCGTTGTGAATTAACTAAACTAAATATAAATGTGATTTTAGTATTTTAACAATTGTTCTTATATAGACAATATTATAACTATCGTAGATTTTGTTCTTATATTAATAAACAATTAACCTATTACATTGTAAATAAATATAAACAATATTATTTATTTCAAGTATATTTATGCTGCAAAATTCTGTACGACAACTTGACCCTATGGACGTTTTAAAATTTAACCGAAAATATATTTTCTAACAATTTTAACAAGACATATACCTAATTAAAATTAAAGATTCGGAATCGTCAAGTACATACTTGAGAATGAAGGACATGTTTGGGACGGTTTATCAGCACAGATGATAACCTAAGTGTCACAGTGAACTAAATGATGTAAGGTGTTGTGGTCATCTTATAGACTGGACAAAGTCCGTACATATATAAACGTGTGTATATAATATTTATGTATAGAAATACCATTTTGAAAATTTATTTCAAAACTGTAAAGCCGAGATATTCATATTCGGTTGAGGAATAATTATCTATTGTGTCTTATTATTTCAATAAATATATCTCAAATATATTTTATTCTATGTTTAAAGAAATAATCTAAAAGTTAACTGGTTGAATATTTTCTTATAACTTGCTGCCATGATTGTATCCCACGCTTACCTTCTAAATTTTGTTCCGAGCCAAGCGCATTTGTCATGTTAATAGTTTCCACCGACATTTTGAATTAATATCAAATCCTTATTTCCTCGAATAATAAAAGATCAATTTTTCATTGCTAATATTTTTAGTTCAATGTAGAATTTTTACTGATATAATATCCATATAAATATTCGTGAATATTTTTAGTTATTTTCACAAACATATATTTCTAAATCTTTAAGTATATAATCCTAGTGAATGAATGCTTTGGAGCAGGTACACACGGGTGTGTATATGTTCAATTGTAAGTAAATACGTGTGACTATAATATTTAATACTTAATTTAGAAAATTAAATAAGTATAATCTTAATTTAATTCTTACCTGCTCTGGTCATTCAGCTTGTAGAATGTCTGTATTTTTCCAACCGATCACCTGTGTACTAAATAGGGATAATCCGTATTACAAGTGTCGCATCAAAATTAAATGTTAGTGAACTTAAAAATTCAAGTTAAAAACTGGCGGATTAAAAAAGGTATATAGTCTTCTGCCAACAATTTAAGACGAAAATCTTCGAGTAAAATACAAAATTGTTGAATTACTTCTAAGCTTAGAATCGTCTTAACTGTGTAAAGCACGGCTTAATTCGGTGACAATAAATAATAAATAATGATTGATATTGCTAGGAGTTCGCTTACTTGTACTAGTACTCGTGCGAAATTTTAGCTCCGCCCAATTTGATTTTTGACAACCAATCAAATTAGAGAACTCTGTCGAAAAAAATTGTTTACAACAAAAATATTGAGTTAATTTAATTAACTTTAACTTTTTTCTCTCTTGAAAATTAATTAGAATTAAATTTTATTTTTTTATTAATATATTAAATTATTGCTCTGATAATAAAATGACAAAATTTTCTTTTTTTTAATAATTTATCTAAATGAGCAAATAAAATTTAGAAGAAAATGAAGATAGAATATAATCGAGAAATAAAATCAACCTATTGTCATATTGCTAATACAAAGTATCTAAAATTATACAAATATTAATTTGTAATGTTTATGAAACGGAGACATGGTTTTTCTTTTCAAAACATCACACATATAAAGTTTACCACAACAAATATATATATATATGCTCGTATGATAAATCTCAATATAATCCAGCTTATAAAATATTTATCTCCTTTTTTTGGTTTATCAATCAGAAAATCAGAGTTAAAGTGTATAAGAATGTCTTAAATCCAAATTAGTGTAAGAAAAACAAATACTACTGTTTGCATAAAATTAAAACTGTTTTAGGCCTTTCGTAAAACCATACATGTAATACCGATATGGGTATTACATCTATGGTAAAACCGATTGCTATTTTCTATTAACTATATTAGTTTCTTTCACATGCATATTACATGGATGCTGCACACTTAGAAGGATGAATTTAAGTTGCGAATAGGGTTTGCAATGTTTATAAAATGTTCATTTTGTTTGGAATGTTTTTGTTTTGTTTTAAACCACACCAAAGTTGGCCAGTCGAAAACATAAAAACCTAACACACACACACAGGGTCGGGGAGAGAGGTAGGGAGGAGAGGGATGGTTGTGCATGCCTTGCGTTACAGTGCATTTGAACTGGAGCCCGAGACAAGGGATGGATCCAGGACTTTTGAAAGGGATCGTTATTCCCGAAAACCGATTATATTTTTTGGACAATTTTATGCTAATAGATTATATATTTTTCAATCAAGGGATGTGTGTGGGGAAATATATATTTTTTTAGCATGAATGAATCCGCCTCTGGAGACTAATATTTATTATGGAGACTAATATTTATTATCACATTCATAAAGACAATACAACTTCATTACAACTTAAGCACAGATTCATAATCATATCTTTGACTACTATACTAAAACCATAAAAGTCCCATATCATATGCAAAAATATATTTTCATGACAGACACCAGTAAAATACATTTTATTTAACGAGATTTCGATTCATAAAGTGGGACTTCTTTCAATAATTCCAGGAAAATGTATAATTTTGTCAAAATGGTTACATTACAATACCACACAGTAATACCACAGTAGCCAGTGCATGCATATTTGGCCAGAGAGTTTACCAGTTTACGCCATTCGGATACAGAAGTGCCTCTGTATTAATTCTTATATTTCATCTCATAGAATTATAGTTACAATAACTTACTTGTAAATCTATAGCTAAGATGAAAATTTGATTTTCTTTGCAATGTTATGACTCAAGTACTGACTTGGTAATTTTGTTTTCGCAGCAATTTTTACTTAAATGAATGTTTTTCATTTTAAAGACACACTAAATATTCTAGACCATATTCGAAGTCTTTGTTGCTTTTAAGCATATGTAAAATGCAATACTGTGTACAATGTCTTTTTTCAAGTGTATCGCCTTTTATAAATGCATAAGGCAGACACAAGTACAATTTTTGCAAACCTCTTCAGACAAAAAATGTTTTTAATAAATATCTCTTTTCTGACTGAAATATATATGATCAAACAGAATCAAAAATCAATCCAAAGATTTACTGAAAGCTTCTTTTTTTTTGGGGAGTATCTGTTTCCATTTCTTTCGTTTTTTTTTTATTTACAGAAATTTAATAAATTACCTCAAAATTTTAAATAAGATGAATATACATTTTTTTTATCAGGTATAATTTATTAATTATTTTGACTTTACGGTATCGCACTGTGCAAATTAACGGTATTTTATAAGATCAAAGATATTATATTAGATTCATCAGTAATTGGAATACAGTAAGATTACTGATTTAATCAGATGAGCAGGATTCGACGTGCGTAGCTCTATTAATTAATTAACAATTAAAGAGTTAGTGTAATTTTTCACCCCTTTGCTTAAGCTTCTTGAGCAAACAAATAAGCCACTGTCGATACACACTGAGTTAAGAAGAACCCCTTCTGAGTCAAAACAATGCATTTTAAAATCTGGTAAAACATTCCCTTTACCGATTCCATCGGAAATCTCAAAATTAAGGCCCTAAAAGGACATCAAACACACCCGACATCGAGGCGAAGTCTTGAAAGACGAGTTAATTAAAATTTAGCCTTTATTGTGAAAATTTGTGCGAATAATCACGTTAATAGTAGATATGATGATAATCGTCTTAAGAGAGGTTTATCCTCTTAGCTATTACAACAGTAATCATTAAAATGCTTGTAAAGTCTTGTTCTATTCTACAGAAACATTTAAAAATGTGACATTATGTTTTTACAACAATAAGGCACCATCTTAATAGAGAGAATACGAAGTTGATTAATGAGATGTTCCGTTCATACACGCTTTCATGCCAAATTATTTTGAACAAGGCATGTCAAAAGATGTTGTTTTTTCTACTGTCATTCCAAAGCTAATGGTGCCAAATTTGATAGAAAAGCGTAAATGGGCTTGTGTCTTGACACGAATTATATGTTGCGAATACACAAAAAGTATTTAGGAGAAAAACGTAAATGCGCTTGTATATTGACACGAAATGTACTTCGAATACACAAATAGTATTTCAAATATAAACATTATAGTGCACTAGCATAAAAACACGAATTGTAACTGCGAATACACAAAAAGTGTAATTTCGTTAAATATTAACTTATTTCTAAAATTGTTTCATATTTATATTTAATCAAAATATATTTATAAGTTACTTAAAACATTTATTTAGCCGACTTATAAAGGAAATTTTCATTTCTTATTTTTATTATTATTAAAACGAATAACAGTATCACGAAATGCAGTCAAATATTTCTATTATAGAAATACATATTATTTGAAACGGATTTCTAAATCAATGCATAATATTTATTCCTTAACGAGCGGAAATAAGATATATATCGGAAAAGGATTTTATTCAAAATCCTGGTATGATGTCAATATAAACAAAACGACAACAGAATATTTAAAGATAATTTGTTTACTTATGAAATAGGGACAGGAAACGTCACAAAACCGTGACATTTGGTCAGAGAGGCTACATCCTAAATATCAAAATGCTTTTGTTTGCACATCATGGCACTGTGTTTATTTATTTATTATATTTCATTCTTTCTCTGGATTTGTTCTTCCTTCTATAATATATTTTATCACAACATGACAGGAAACAAAAATCTTAAAGATAGAGTTAAAGAAATTGCCATTTAAGTGTTGTATTATTTATCTTTACGGAAATCACTCCCAAAAATATTTCTTGACGGACTTGAAACAATTATAAATGACTTCTGCAATAAAGCTTCTATTGTCAGATTGTGCAACAGCTATATATATGGGCCTTTTTGAGATATGTTTTTTTCCTCAATTTCCAAGAAAAGGATGGGAAACCATTTGAATGAAAACAATTAACAGAGTACTCTTGTGAAGTCATGAACAAACTTTGCGTCTGCATATTTTTTTTTTTTTTTTCATTTTTTTTAACAAAATTAAAGTGTATTGTTTTGTGTGTATAATTGTCATGACGCCAAACAAGGACCCTTAATTGGAACAATAAATATTCTTTTTCTTATTCTATGTTTTGTAAAAAATCGAAAAAAAAAAATTGCGGATTAAGGATAAATAAGCCTGGCTAGCTTCAACCACCTCCGTCTCCCCCTAAAATCCAATGGTCGTCCCCTTTTCGAAGCTAATGGGGAAATTCCGCATCTATTGACATCTACTAAGTTTCTAAAACTTATTATGTATTTGTATATATTGCCTTTACCTGAATGAATATTATTATTTTTATCATAAAAAGTGGGGGTATACTGTTTTACCTCTGTCTGTCCGTCCATCCATCCGTCAGTCCGTCCGTCCGTCTTATGAATATTTTTGTCGCATCTTTCTCAGGAACTACATTTAAAGGATTTCTGAAATTTGGTTTCAGGGTTTATACAAGTCAGTTATACCGTGTGATGCGTTTTCAGATTCATCACTCAACAACTTCCTGTTAATGGAAATATTTGGCGGGGGTATCATCAGTGAGCAGTGGCTCGCAGTTTCACTTGTTATTATTATTCTTATTTTTATTCTTATTCTGCACAAAGCTACAACTTTCTAGATTTCTGGATTGCTTGTTAGTCTTTGTATTTCATTTAGGATCATAGAGTTATCATCGGCTATAGTACTAGATGCTCAAAGAACGACAATTTCAATTTCTGGGGAAGTGGATAGGGATTAGAAATGAATGTGTGTCTGGTAAGAACTGAAAACAAAAATCTTACTCACGACTGGATAAAAATGAATATTCTGCCCGACAAAATAGAGGATATAGTTTTGTATAAAATCGACAAAACAATTTGCGGGTCTAGGATAAGTAAGCTTGGCTAGCAACAGCTACCCCATCTCCCCCAAAATCAAATGGTCGTCCCCTTTTGGAAGCTAATGAGGAAAATCTTCATCTATTGACAGTCTATTCGCAACTTCTACTGAGTAGATATTTATTTATATTATACTTCTCTGAATTTAGTTGAATACATTCCATAAAAACTACGAGACAATAATATCTATTTCGTGTGTTTGTTGATCAGATTGAAATGCCATTGTAAAACGATAAAGTGGATTCTCTGATTTCAGCAACATAGTTTGTATAACAAGACGATGGAACAGGATTTTCCGACTTGTTTCTATACAAAACGGTAGAAGGTGTAGCTATT